TACTCCCGTGTGCGACGGCGAGCACTTCCGGGTTTGACTTATTGCGTCCAGACAAGACGCGATACGTTGAACCCAGAAGTTAGATTGCCAGCCGCCGAACTAGCGGCTGGGTATAGACGTACCCTTATTACGTCAATGTCAGGAGTACTAAACTGACTAATGATTTATAATGATAAGGATTAGGTCAGTGCCTCCTATTCATGTTCTAATTTCAACTTTAAATATTAACTGAGAATTCTTTGCTGCCTCATGTGATGGAAATCCTGTTCCTCCACCACCTGATTCATTCCCTTGCAGGAATACTTTACATTTATATAGCAATTTTCATCTGAGAATATTATTATTATTTGTATTACCGTATCGTTATTTGTGTTATCAGGTCCCCATTGTGCTAGCCATTGTAAGTGCTTTCCAAATATCAGTTAATTAAGGCTCACTTTACCACTCAGAAGTAGGTATTATTATCTGCCCATGAGTTTCTCATTCACTCATTCTTTTATCTGGGCACCCTAGAGTTTAAAGGCAGAAAAACAAGCAAAAGAAGGTTAGTGATTTGACTGGCGTCATTCAGTGAGTCAGTGGGAGATCTGGATTGATTATGATTCCTGGACCTATGTGCCAACTATTAGACAATGCTTTCCCCCCTCCCCTCCACAAACACATTTCAAACACTAGCCAGATCCTACAGTGCAACAAGCCAGTGACTTACCAGTCTGCCTTTTTCAAGCAGTCTATCCTTGCACCTTTATCCAGCAGATACAACATGCAGTCCCTGTGACCCATGGAAGCTGCTTCGTGGAGGGGCCTTTTGTAGTCATTATTAAACATCTCGATGTCCATTTCCAAGGCTTCTACTAAATGGGTCAGAACATTCAGGTGACCATGCCTGGCTGCATAGTGCAGTAGCGTGTCCCCAGATTTCCCATAGTGTTTCCGCCTCACTTCCTTGCTCATTTCCTTGTCTCTCTGCAACTCCTCTTTGAAAACGTCTAGCCTGCCTTCTTGAATCAGCCTGAGAAGTTGTTTCTGATTTTCTGCTTCAGCCATAGAGAAACGTGTGGTTCCTAAGACATGAAAACAAACAACAACAAGCAGGTTTGGGACAGAGAGAGTTCCAAATAAAATGAATGATGAGATTTTTAAAGGCTAATTGGAAAATCTATTATCATAAAAACAGTCTTAATATAAATCCAAAATAAAGGTGTCTCTCACCAAGTGAATCGAAGGTGGCAAGTCTCTGATATCTGACATCACCGGGTTAAAATGTCCACAGGAAAATATCGAGAGACGGTGTATGTTTGTGAGCAAGTGGAGGTTCCTAAGTGGGCAGGGAAACTTAAGTGGATAAGAAATTCTTACAATCAGTGTCATAAAAAAAGCTTTTATAAATAAAAATGCTCCCTCCCATACCTGAACTGAAGATGCAGTAAATAAGTCAGTATTGGATCTTATGCATAAAGACAGCAGTTATTATTTAATACCAGGTTTTTCAACACTCAGCCATAAAATTATTATCTTAACAAAGCTAAAAAAGCTTGTGGGATCAGCTACACAAAATGAAAAAGACCCAAGCTACTTGCATGAGTCACATTAAAATGATTAAAAGCTCACATCGGACACACCAGAGTCCACTGACGGCTTCTATAGCTGCTGCTGCAGGGCTGTGCTGCACTGAATTCGTTCCCCTTATACAAGCTGTCTTCTTCTTGTGGACAAACAGTGTTTGCCCTGACACTTTATTTTAGGCTAGTGGGTAGAGCCGCAACTGGTAGGGGGACCATATGTCCCATTTTGGCCAGGATAGTCCCTTTTTTAAGCCCTGTCCTGGTCCTCCTGACTTTTTTTCCCCAAAAGGAGGTATTTGTCCTGTTTGCTCTTGCCAACTTGATCAGTTGGCAAGAGCAAATGGGACAAATCCCCACTTTTGTCAAAAAAGTGCGGTGTGGTGGAACGTGCGGTGGGGGGAAAGGGGAAAGAGATGCCAGCCCCTCCTAGGGGAGGAGGTGGGGCGGACAGTTCCAGCATGTCGTGGAGGGGGCTGGCAGGGTTCCAGCAACAGGCAACAGCCTCCTGAGGGGGGGCCCGCAGGGTTCCAGTGATGGACAACAGCATTGAGCAGGGGTTGGATGAGGCCCTCGAGCGAGCAGCTCAGGGCGTCCCGTATTCTCTTTGGGAAATATGGTCACCCTAGCAACTGTAGACTTTGGAGACCTTAGTTCAAGTCCCTGCCTTGCTGGTAGCCAGATGGGTGATGATGGGCAAGTCACTTCACTAATCTGTTCCTTGGTTGCTGCATCTGTAAAATGGGGATATCAACCTCTTTTGTAAAGTGCTGGGAGATCTACTGATGAGACGCGCTGGAAAAGAGCGAGGTATTATTATTACCGGCGGGACTAGTCTGG